CTCTGCTCTGGTTTGGCTTGTGTTGTTCCCTTCTGGCTGTCCCACAACAGAAAGTCAGGGACCCTGGTCCGGGACTCTCAGGTTCCTCTCCTGGAGGCTGAACCCTGAACCATCTACTTTCCACTGTCTTCCATCTCAAATCCTTCCCCATACATCCCTCCCTGCAAAAGTCACTCCTCCCACTCCCATGAATGATGTTAGCATGGACACATTACCACAGCCAGGCACCCGACACGGTCACCAGACTCACCATAAACGCATCACTGGCCCTCACCACCGCATGCAGGAAGTCAGCCCCAATGTCCTCGCAGTCTTCCTCCTAAATACCTTAAGGATGCCCCCTCCATTCCAAACCCCCATCATAATCTGTCAGCCAGTTATCACTGTCACTAGTGTGGACATTGAGAAAGATGCTGAAGCACCAAGATTCTCCACTTTGACTCTGGCACGTCCCTTTCCCCACAGCCTTTCCTCCTCAATCCCTCTAGCAGGTGACTTTAGCCTGACTGCTCCTTCCTTCCCCTCTAGGTAACATGTGAACTAATGACTGACAGACTATTAATCCTGACAGGATAGGGGGTAGGGCTGTTCTCTTGAGAGCCAGGTTGTCTGCTCATCACACTTGGTCCACAAGGACTGGGTCATTGTGTGCATGGACCACACACAAGGCCTTGGGGCATCCCTATCACTTGCCTGTCTCACAAATCTCTGGGCAATATTTGTGCACTTGTATCCCCACACCTGCTGTGGTGTCAGTACACAGGTCCCTGGTGTGTTTGCAAATGCTGCTTTTGTGTCTCATGTCTGTCACACACAGTTTGTTGTTGATTGTGTATATGCATTTGTGGGTCCAGACTGTGTTGAGGGGCATCCCCAGGGTTGATATGATGTATCTCCTTGTTGTGTGGAGGTGTGCCATTATCATACATCTGTCATACATGGTCCCCTATACATGCGTGTGCTTATCTCTAGGCTGTGCTGTAGTGTCACCATCTCACACCTGTCAAATACAGTACTTGTATTGTTTCCAGACTGTGCCATGGAGTGCTAGTAAAGTCATATTGCATGTGGTTCCAGATGTGTCATCATAATGAACCTGTCCATCAGGACCTCAATCACCCATGTCACCATACCCGGCATACAGGAAATCGGGGGAAATGCAAGCATATTAAACAGCATCAGAGAGATTCAATAAACCCAATCTAGGATATGGCAAAGGTGTGGGGATACAAATACACAAATTGACAAAAGGCTTAGCAACTTCAACAAGTAAATAAAATAGTTTTAAAAAGGAGTTTGATAGTAGACAAGGATCATCTTTGGTGAAGGGAAGGACAACACACAACACAGGGGAAATCAGCAGGACTGGACCAAAGCAAAAGCTAGAAGTTTCCTGAACACATCCAAACACTCTGAGGGACAGAGTAGCTGGAGCTGGGGCCTGGGGACCATGGTTTTGGGGAACATCTAGGTCAACAGGCATAACAAAGTTTATTAAGAAAACGTTCTGCATTCCACTTTGGTGAGTGGCGTCTGGGGTCTTAAAAGTTTGTGAGCAGCCATCTAAAATGCATCATTTTGTCCCAACCCACTTGGAGCAAAGGAGAATGAAGAACACCAAAGACACAAGGAAAATATTAGCCCAAGAGACTAAAGGTCCACATAAATGAGAGGCTCCACCAGCCTGAGACCAGAAGAACTAGATGGTGCCCGGCTACCAATGACCACCCTGACAGGGAACACAAAAGAGTCCCAGACAGAGCAGGAGAGAAGTGCAGAGCAGAACTCAAATTCACGTAAAAAGACCAGATTTAATGATCTGACAGAGACTGGAGGAACCCCCAAAACTATGGTCCCTGGATGCTCTATTAACCCAGAACTAAAAGCATTCCCAAAGCCCACTCTTCAAAGATTAGACAGGACTATAAAACAAAAAATACACGTGAGGAATGTGCTTCTTAGTTCAATCAGATACATGAGACCAAATGGGCGGCTCCTGTCTGGAGGCAGGATGAGAAGACAGGAAGGGACACGAACTGGTTGAAAGGACACAGGGAACCTGGGGTGGAAAGGGAGAGTGTCCTGTCACATTGTGGGGATTGCAACTAGTGCCATAAAACATATTTGCATAAATTTTTGTATGAGAAATTAACCTGAGCTGTAAACTTTCACCTAAAGCACAATAAAAATTTAAAAAAAGAGGTTTAAGTGGTACCTTACAATTGACTTACAAAACATACCTACTAAAAGCCATAAGGATATGTTTTGGATCCTGACTGTAATCAACCTGCCTGAAAAAAAAGTTTTTGAGACAACTGATAACATTTGGCACTGATAACATAATGATCATATTTTAAAATATTATTTTGCATGATGTTATTGAAGTTATGATAGAGCCTTACATTTCTGAAATCCATTCTGAAGATTTTGCATTAAATATACGATGACCAGAAGTATAAAGTGACCTACTGTTTCTTAAGTTAAACATTCACCTACCCTGTGATGGCACTGCAAACTGACTTATTAACACAAGAGAAATGAAACGTATCTCCATATAAAGAATTGTGCACAAATATTCATAGCAGCTTTATTTGCAAGAGCCAAAAACTGGAAATAAATCAAATGTCCACAAACAGTTGAATGAATAAACAAATAGTGGTATATCCACAGAGCAGGATAATATTCAGTAATAAAAATAACGAATTACTCGTATAAGCATCACTGGTAAATCACAAAATAACTATGCAGCATGAAAGAAACAGAAAAAAAAAGAGGAAACACTTTAGATTTCAATCATATACATCATGATTATGATGGATTCAGGGGTTTATATGTGTGTCAAAATTTCAAATTGTACAGTTAAAATATGAGGTTTATTCCATGTCAATTATACCTCATTAAGCTTTAAAAATGGCTTAAAAAAATTATAGATCTTCCACACTTTTTTGGAAAATCAGGTTCAGCAACCCTATACTGACTCCCCCATCACTCTCCTCATGCCTTAGGAGAGGCAGCAAATATTGGTGAGCAATGAAGGCCATTGCTACCTCAGTCAACAAGGATACTGGCAGGGTCATAAAAGCCACATCCCTGGACTACAGATCTCCTTTAGCTTTATCCTTGCTTTCCTGCTCATGCAGCAATGGCCTTGAGGTGAAGAGGTTATGAGAATTCACAAAAATTACTTGTTCTAACAATGACAGCTGCACACATGCAATGCAATTCTTCTGACAGTTAACTATCCCGAGTTAGGTCAGATTTCACAGATTACAGGCACAGTCCTAGATAAAACTACCTTCATTTCAGACACTAGCTATAAATTAGAAGAGTTCTAGGCCGCCTGATCTTCTGACCAACTAGTTACAAATTCAGGGATTCCTACTACCCCTCACGTTCGACAATTTGCTGGAATGACTCACAGAAATCAGAAAAGCATTATACTTAATGGTTACTGTTTTATTATATCAAGAAAGAATACAAAAGAGGTACATAGAGCCAGGTCTAGCAGGATCCAGATATGAGCTTCCTTATCCTTTCCCCATAAGTCAGGATGGGTCATCCTCCTGACACACTGATGTGTTGTCAGGGAAGCTGTGTCCAGAGTTTTTCCTGGGTTTCATTCTGTAGGTATGATTGGTTGAATCATTGGCCACGTGACTGAACTCAACCTCCAGCTCCCCTACCAGCCCTGGCAGCTGGGCTGACATCATGTGGTGGGTTTCCTGGCATGGCCAGCCCCAATGAGTTACCTCTTTAGCATAAACTATCAGGTGAAGTTGAATTACTTCATAAATAACAGACATTCCAATCACTCAGGAGATCCCAAGAGTTTAGAAGTTGTCTACCAGGAACTATGGACAAAGACTAAATTCTTTGGGTAAAGTTAATTCTTCACCTCACTCAGGAGGTCCTGAGTTTCTCTACACGCTAAATGCACACAGCCATAGCCACTGGAGCATGTGTAGAGGTAATTTTACAAGAGACATATGCATTCTAATTTGTGTCAGTCTCAACTCTTTATTAATCCAATATTTCTGTACCTATTATGGGTCTCCCTGAGCCCTCCACAGTGCTGGACATTATATGATCTCATGTTATTGTCAGAAGTAGGGAAGTTTTTCACAACTGTCCCTTCCTTAAGGTGACCTCTGAGTGCATGTGTGCACGTACACACACACTGGCATCCAGGCTACAATTTTGGATCACGAAGTCCTGTGGTCTTTCCTAAGAAGCTTTGGGCACCAACACAAATTAGGCCCAAACTGAAGAGAAAGCTATTTTCTGCCTTAACGTTATCCTCTCTGAGGCTCACAAAGTTTGGGGTCCGCACAAGTTGTTCATCCCTTTATGCTGGCAGATCCTAACACTGCTCTCAGATCATTGAAAAATAGTTAATTGAACCCCCATGATTAATTGTGCTTAAACACAAAGGCCTTTCTGATTACACAAACCAGAGTAACGTGGGCAGAAGGTTCCTGGCTTGGTGACTTGGAAGGTACATGCTTTTTTCAAGCATGTGAAACCAAAAATATCCCTGAAAAAGGTAGGGTTTTTGGCAAGATGCCATAACTCAGATCAGCTCCTCTAAGCCAAAACTGGGTCAGGTCCAGGCCTTGTCAGAGAGAAGGGAATGAGGACCCCTTAGGGGCTCAGGTTACTCACGATTTCTTCAAGTGAAAAGGTGAGCACTGAGGTCTGCATCCCCGAGCACCTTGGGTTGGTGACTGATGCACACTGTGGGGCCTGCTAGGTGGTGCAGTGGTTTATGCCATAGATACTGGCAGTGGTGAAAATTTGGCAAGGGCCTTGGGAATGTTATAAAATGAAACGTAACTTCTGAAGGTTTCCCACATACCTACAACCCATGGGGAATTTTCCCTCAGTGAATGTTTGAAGGTAGGAGGATCAATTCAGGTGATCAGTCCCTCACAAAGGCTCTCCAGTGATGTTATTCTGAACAAATATCACATTCCCTGCATATCTAAGGCCTTTCTCCAGTGTGATCTCTCTGGTGTCTAATGAAGGATTTACAGTGGCTAAATGATTTCCCACATTGTCCACACTCGTAACACCTTTTTCCAGTGTGAACTGTCCAATGTTGAATGAGGACTAAGTGATCGCAAAATGATTTCTCACATTCCACACACTGATAAAGCCTTCCTCCAGTGTGAACTCTGGTGGTAAATGAGTAAACATTTGTATCTAAAGGATTTCCCACATTCGCCACACTCATATACACTAGCTCTAGTGTGAATTCTCTGGTGTTTAAGGAGGCTGGACCCTCGGCTAAAGGATTTTCCACATTCACAACACTCATACAGCACTGTTCCTGTGTGAATCCTCTTGTGTTTATTTAGGTAGGAGCAATAGCTAAAGAATTTCCCACATTCCCTGCACTCATAAGGCCTTCCTCCAGTGTGACTTCTCTGGTGTTTCTTAAGATTCGATCTCTGGGTGAAGAATTTTCCACATTCACTACACTCATAAGGTTTTTCTCCAGTGTGAATTTTCCGATGCTGAATGAGAGATGAGGCATCTCTAAAGGATTTCCCACATTCCCCACACTCATAAGGCCTTTCTCCAGTATGAATTCTCTGGTGTTTATTAAGGTCAGATTTACGGCTAAATAATTTTCCACATTCACCACATTTATAAGGCCTTTCTCCAGTATGAACTCTCTGATGGTAACTGAGTAAAGATTTGCGGCTAAAGGGTTTTCCACATTCACTACACTCATAAGGCTTTTCTCCAGTGTGAATTTTCTGATGTCGAATGAGGGATGAGGGCACTCTAAAGGATTTGCCACATTCCTCACACTCATATGGCCTTTCTCCAGTGTGAATTCTCTGATGGTAACTGAGTAAACATTTGAATCTGAAGGATTTTCCACATTCTACACACTCATACGGCTTTTCTTCAGTGTGAATTCCCTGGCACTGAACAAATCTGTATTTGCAGCTGAAGTCTTTCTCACATTTGTTACCCTCATAAAGCCCCTCTCCAGTGCAGACGCTCTCATGGTGAACAAGTGTGTGTTTGTGACTGGAAAAATTCCCACATTTACCCCACCTGAACAGTCTTTTTCCATTGTGAAAGGTCTTCCCACACTCAAGGCTGCTGGGTTGCTTCTCACTCTCAGGAGAGGCCTGGTGCTGGAGTAGACTTGAGGTTGCTGGGAAGTCCTTACCAACTTCCCCACAGGTGAAGGGTTGCCCTGACACATGGAATCTGCAGCTCTTCATAAATGAGGCCCCATCCATGTCCTTTTTGAAGGGTTTCTCTCCACTGGGACACTTCTGTTGCTGGTGGTTTGGTCTCATCCAGAAGCATCTCACACATGTCCCACCCAAGCATGGATTCTGCCCAGGATGTGTTCCTTGCTCAGTCAGGTGCAAAATGTCTTTCAAGACTGGGACACCCATTTCCCAGGGGTGAGTATTCCGGGTGGATGAACCTGCCTTTGAAGTCCTGATCTGTGACACTACTTCTACAGAAACACTCTGCTTAGATGATGCCTTCTCATCCTCTGTTCCATGCCAAGAACCTGAAAGCACAGAAATGCTGATGAAATGCATGTTGACTTTGCTGGGAAGCAGAAGCTCCATCAAAATTGTGCATCAGACACAAGAAGTGAATCCATGGAACTGTTCTGAGAACAAGGAACTGGGGGCAAGTTGAAGAATGGGCTGCTTTGCAGTACTGGGACTCTGCGATTACAAGGACACTAAGATGGGGTGCAGCACAGTAAGAAGAGGCGGGGTCTCCAACACACTCTCTGCCAACAACCTTCAGCAGGGACATAATACGTGCCTTCTGTACAGAAGTCGGTTGTGCTCAGGCATAGGACTGTTTAAGGATATGTACACACCTCACGACACACTACGTGTGGGCCAATACTGGAGAACAGTGAAGAGGGAGCAGTGGAGAGGAATAGGTGATGTGGGGAGGTCAAAGTGGTGTACAGGGGCTAGATGCACAGTTGAAATAACAAGTCAACAAACTGTCAAGAATGGAGAAGAAAAGGCAGAAAAGAGGTATGATCATTGGCATTTACAACAAAACACTGGTGGACACAGAGCAGGTTCCTGGTATATTGTGAACACAGCTCTGATGTCATGCCCTCTGTAATATAATACCTCACAAATGATCTCTTGACCCAGTTTTTGGGCCCTGGTTAGAGGCCAGTCAGTTCTCCTTCTTGAGTAGCAGATTAAGGGTACTCTCCAATCACTCTCTTTATCGGGTTCACACACTCCTGGGTCAGTACCCACCCACCATAATCACCATGGGCCAGGTCCCATAGAAGTAGGGACAGACCTCATGCCCCAGAGCGTGTGGAAATTATTCTAAATGCCCAATCCCCAGAAAATCCGTGAAACTTAGCTAGCCCTGCCCTGCTTGCCATATATAGCATCTCCAACAATTCCAGCTTGTTGTTACCCTGTCCTCAGGCACTATGCTCTGAGTGGCCTGATGTGACATGCAGCATTCTCTCCAGGGAACTGTGACTATAACAAAATCTTTAATGCTTTCATGGTCTCTGTCTCTTGATCTGCATCTGATCTTACCATACCTCATCCAAGGCAATACAATTAAAACAGCCTTCCCAGTTTCCACTCAGCAGGGCCAGGCCACCTCTGAGACCATCTTGTCATGTCTACCCTCAGAAGCAACCAGGGTATACCCCCAGTCCCAGTTGTGCAACTACATGGGACCTGCATAAGACAAGTCCCAAGGGACACACAGGACAGGTGAGTGGCCAGTATCGGTCTACAATAAGTCAGCACAAAAAAGACCACAGGAGAGAAAATTAGCATTACAGAAACAAAAACCTTTGAAGGAGGTTATCGCAAGAACTGCCCACAGTCCTCATAACTAATGGCCATGACACTGTCTGTAACTCCAGGCAAGTATGAGGAAATTTCAGCTAGGGAAAGGGGGTAGAACCTGGGCACAGAGGTGTCATGAACTCAGACAGTCATGCTGCCAGGGAGAAGGCAAGAAGGGTGAGCTCTGTTAGGCCGATTGTAAGACTCCTGACTCCCAGATCCTTCCCTGCAGGGTGTGGGCAGCAGGTGATGGGGCTGCTCAGGGAGTGCACTGCTCAGAGCAATGCACACAGCTCAGCCCTGGCCCCCAGAGCACACATGCCAAGAACATGTGGAAGGTAGCAGTGCCACAGTCTGGCTGTGGAAGGACAGAACTGTCTCTGGGGAAAGAGGAAACAGAGACTAGAGTAGGAAATGTGTGTGGGTGTGAGGGTCTTACCCAGGGAGGCTATGATTGCAAAGTTCTCCAGCATCACATCGCAGAACAGCAGCCTCTGTGCCTCATCAAGGAGCCCCCACTCCTCCTGGGAGAAGTCAATGGCCACGTCCTCAAAGGTCACACCACCCTGCCATGATGGGGACAACAGTTCATTCCATGATTAGCTTCTCTCCTTGGGACCCCAACTTCATCTCTCCTCATATTCATCTTCTGCTCACCACCCTTCCCAGCTCAGAGGAGATATCAGGCCCTGGTTCAACTGATGCCCTCTCTCCCTTTGGCCTCACTGATCACTGGGTAGGCCACCAGCACTAAGAGGCATATTGTCAGATGAACACTACCTAAGCTCTGGGTCAGGTATGCAGGGCTCTAGCCCCTCTTGTCAGGCAATTTTCCTGGGTTTCAAAGAACACAGCTCCCTGACACAACCAAATATGGGTTTCCTTAAGCCTTAGGTCCCCAGTACCAGGGCCCTGGCACCATCAGTTCACACAGATGGTGTATACCACTCTTTGACCCACACTCTCTCCCACAGCTGCACTTCCACAGCCTCCTCCCCCTCCCTACCCCACACCATAGGCAACCCCTGGCCTCCCCACATGGTACTCAGTACATAGCACCAGAGAGTACTCAGCAAATTCAAACAGGATCCAGTTCTACCCCAGACCTCTGGTGGTCCCCACTGACAGCTATAAAGGCCTCCCTGCCTGATTTTGCTCCTTGTTTTAACCTCAGCCACCCACAGCCACATGTGGATCTCAGATACCTTTGGCCCACTTCAACTTATGCTGCACTTTCTGAACGCACACCAGTCACAGCCTTCCTCTCTCCACCTAACCATCACTCAAAGCCAGTTTTCAGTGGCCCAGTGACTCCCAAATGGCCACTTGTGGCCCACAGTTAATCCACATCCGAGTGAAACACCTCAGTCCACACCAAGGGACACAACAAAATTCTGGTATGTCCATCATACAGTAAATAAGGATCGATGCTGGCCTGTTTTTTTGCCTCAGTTACTTCTGTGCCTCCACATCCATCTTATGTCCATTCACCCCTTGTAAGCCTTGTCCACCTGCCAGATTGTGCTCTCTTCTACAACCTTCCCATGGCCACTTCTTTCCCTTGCCTGTGTTTGTGACCATGGCTAGCTATGGGCCCAAGCAAGAGATCCAGTCCTCCAGCCCCACCCTCCCCTCACTACCATGCTATTAGCATTACAACCATGACCAGATTCCCCCCACCAAAAGAAACCCACAGCTCCACCCTGATCCACACATTGGCCACTACCTTTGGAGATGTCTCCATCCTGAGTCTCTCCCCAGAGTTCTAGATCTGTTGTCCAGCTGTTCACTTAACACTTATACTCTCTTGTTCACTGAAACAGCTCACACTTTTTTTTCAAAATTTTATTTATTTTGTTGTTGAGAATATACACAGCAAAACATACACCAATTCAACCGATTCTACATATACAATTCAGTGACACTGATTACATTCTTCAAGTTTTGCCACCATTCTCACTGTCCTTTTCTGAGTTGTTCCTCCCCAATTAACATAAACTCACTGTCCCCTAAGGTTTCTATCTCATGTTTTGAGTTGCTGTTGTCCATTTCATCTCATATAGATCTTAAAAGAGCATAATGCTCAAGGCGGATATTTTCTACTAGTTAAGCTAAACTATTGTTTGGTTTTAAGAAGACTTCAGGGGATATTTTTGGTTTAAGGTTTAAAGATTATCTCAGGGCAATAGTTTTGGGGGTTCATCCAGCCACCATGGCTCCAGAAAGTATGGATTCCATGAGAAATCTGAAATTCTGCATTTCCTCCCTTTTGATCAGGATTGTTCTACAGAATCTTTGATCAAAATGTTCAGTAATGGTAGCCAGGCACCATCTAGTTCTTCTGGTCTCATGTCAGAGAAGGCAGTTGTTCATGGAGACAATTAGCCATACATTCTGTTTCCTCCATCTATTCCTGATTCTTTATCTTCCTCTGTTGATCCAGGTAAACAGAGACCAATTGTTTTGCCTTAGATGGCCACCTGCAAGCTTTTATAACAATGAACTAGGAGATAGAACAGAAGCACTAAACACATTATTAGGCCAATTAACTGGAATTCCTATGAAACTATGACCCTAAACCTCAAAACCAAGGAATCAAATCCCATGAGGTATTTAGTTGTACATAAGCAGCCTCAGCAGCTACTCTTTTTGTTATTGTTGTTGTAAATATGTCTATCACACAACTTTTGCCAATTCCATTTTTTAAGGGTTTACAACTTATCGATAGGATTTACAATAATTGTCTTTGCAACCCTATCCTTAATCAATGCCATTTTTCCATCACTATAAACTGAAACTTAGTACTCTGTAAGCAATAACCTTCCCTTTCCCCCTCCCTTCCACCCCTGGTAACCACTAATAAACTTTGGTCTCTACACATTTGCCTTTTCTTGTCCTTTTATATAAGTGAGGTTGTACAATATGTGTCCTTTTGTGATCAACTTATTTCACTCAGCATGTCTTCAAGCTCCATCCATATCATAGCATGTATCAAGATTTTATTTTTCCTACTGGCTGAGTAGTATTCTATTGTTATGCAGTACCACATTTTGTTTATCCATTAATCTCTTGATGGGCATTTAGGTTGTTTCCACCTTTTGGCTACCGTGAATAGTGCTGCAATGAACACTTGTGAACAAGTCTCCGTGTGGGTCTCCGCTTTCAAGTCTTTTGGGCATATATATACCTAGGAGTGGAATTGCTGGGTTATATGGTAGTTCTATTTTTAGTTTTTTGAGGAACTGCCAGACCATTTTCCACAATAGTTGTACCATTTTTCATTGCCGCCAGCAATGGATAAGGTTTCCAATTTACCCACATCCTCACCAACATTTGTTATTTTCCTTTTTTTTTTATCTTAGCCATCCTAGTGGGAATAAAATGGTATCTGTGGTTTTGATTTGCAGCTCTCTGATGGCTAGTAAGAGCCCTGGTGGCGCAGTGGTTAAGAGTTAAGGCTGCTAACCAAAAGGTCAGCAGTTCAAAGCCACCAGCTGCTCCTTGGAAACCCCATGAGGCAGTTCTACTCTGTCCTATATGGTCGCTGTCTTAGTTATCTAATGCTGCTGTAACAGAAGTACCACAAGTGGATGGCTTTAACAAAGAGAAACTTATTCTCTCACAGTCTAGAAGGCTAGAAGTCTGAATCCAGGGTGCCAGCTCCAGGGGAAGGCTTTCTCTCTATGTCAGCTCTGGGTGAAGGTCTTTGTCATTGGTCTTCCCCAGTTGAGGAACTTCTCAGCACAGGGACCCTGGGTCCAAAGTACGAGCTATTCTCCTGGCTCTTGTTTTGTGGTGGTATGAGGTCCCCTGTCTCTCTGATCAATTCTCTCTTTTATATTTCAAAAGAGATTGACTTAAGACACAACCTAATCTTGTAGATTGAGTCCTGCCTCACTAACATAATTGCCACTAATTCCACCTATTATTATAGAAGCAGAATTTCTAACACATAGGAAAATCACATCAGATGACAAAATGGTGGACAATCACACAATACTGGGAATTATGGCCTAGCCTAGTTGACACATATTTTGGGGGTACACAATTCAATCCATGACAATCAGAATTCACTCAACACCAACAGATTTTTTTGGTTTGATGGCTAATGATGTTGAGAGCATCTTTTCATGTGTTTGGTTGCCATTTGAATGTCCTCTTTGGTGAAATATCTATTCAAGTCCTTTGCCCATTTTATGATTGGGCTATTTGCCTTTTTGTTAAGTTGTCAAAGTTTTATATATATTTTGGTTATTAGATTATTATCAGATATATGGTTTCTGAAGATATTCTCCCAGTTAGTAGCTTGTCTTTTCACTTCTTTGGTAAAGTCTTTTGATAAATAAGTTTTTAATTTTTATGAGGTCCCATTTATTTATTGTGTCTTTTGCTGTTTGTGCTTTTGTTATTAGATAATCCATTGTTAAAAGCTAGGCCCAACAGTGTTGTCCTGGCATTTTCTTCTAAGAATTTTATGATTTTAGTTTCCATACTTAGGTCCTTAATCCGTTTTGAATTTGTTTTTGTTTATGGTGTGTTTTTTTTTATGGATCCTGTTTCATTTTTCTGCATGTGGAAATGCAATTTTCCCAGCACCATTTATTGAAGAGACACAGCTCATACTTTCAACATGGACAAAAACAAATCTCTTAATATCCCCAATGATAATGACTCCTACTACTGACTTTCCTATATCACTTGATGAAGCTTCCATCCTTCCAGCTGCTAAAACCAAAAATCTTGAAGTTATTGTATGATTCCATTTATATGATACAGCTACAATAGGCAAGTGTATAGAGTTCAAAGTTTATTAGTGGTTGCCAGGGGTGTGTATCAGGGAGGGGAAAAGGAAGACACAATGTTTAGGGGACACTGAGCATCTGTTTAGGGTGATGGAAAAAAATCGGAAATGGTTAATAGTTATGATTGAACAACATGATAAACATAATGTCACTGAACTGTACATGTGAAGACTGTAGAAACGGCAAATGTTTTATTACCTATATATTTACCACAATACAAAAATATCTATTTACATTAAAAAAAAAAATCTTGGAGTCATTCCTGACTCCTACCTTACTCTCTCATCCTCAAAATTAGAAAATCCAGGCAGCCCTACTTAGATAAAAATTAGATACAGAATCCACAAATGTCTTCCACCTCCAGAGCTACTACACTGATCTAGCTACCTTGAACATGCACATGGACTACTGCAGTAACCTCCTCCCTCGTCTTACTGCCACCCAAGTCACACCCATACTCACACCCAGATGTCAGACCACCTCCTTTCTCTGCTCTAAAACTCCCACTGCTCCTATCACCTCCAGAATAGATGCTCAACTTCTCAGGAAGCCATTCCAAGCCTGACTCCTGGCCCCTGCTCTCTCTTCCCATGAGAACAAAAGGAAACCTGCAGTTACTTGAACACTTCCAGCTCAGTCTCAACTCCAAGCATTAACACATAGTAGTACCTATGCCTTGGATAACCTTCCACACCTCATTCCATTGGTTGCCAACAATATGCTCTAATCTTTGTA